AGCCTTTTTGGAATGTACTGTATTTACTATAGGGTTTGTTTACTTGATTTCTTTGTATTTTGCTTGCTGAGTTGAGTAGAGTAGTTTATTAGTTCAAGACTGGACAGGACTTTCCTTCCGACAACCAAGGCAAGTACTCCATTTTCCTTTCGTTCTTTCTTTATCTTCCAGAGCTCTAGTTTCTTCCTTAGATTGTCCCCATTACACTCTTTCCCTCTTCTTCTTTGCCCTTTTATATTATAGAGACGAGTTTACGAGCCGGCTGCCTTTCTTTCTCTTCAAGCCAATTCCCCTTATATAAAACAATCTGGTAACGATGCTGCTCTATCAAGACACCAAGCTCTATAGGTAGCGAGCCGAATCAGTAAGAAAACTAAACTTGAAAATGACCTTTTCAGATAGCTCCAAAGGCAGAATCGGGATGAGAAGGTTCCCCAATAGGGGGGCAAAGCCCGTTCATACTTTCTTCCAAACCTCCGACATATGCTACCGCTGCTGCAAGACCTCTTCTTCCTAATGGAGGTGTCGGGAGTGGCTCATAACCCCTGGGCTCCTCGTGCAGGTCCCAGTTCCAAACTTATCCAAGGAGTACCACAAACCATACGGTCGCTGGTAACTCGCCCTCATGATTCATCACGTGGTGGACCATAGGGTAGCACTAAGAAAGATAGCTGCCCGAGGGAAGTTTGATTTTGATTTTTATAATAGGCACCAAAGCCGATCTTCCTGACAGGCCGCATCCTCTACGGCCAACTCGTCAGTCTGACACTGACGGAGCAAGCATCTTTAAGAGTTTCTTTTAACGAGTCTCCCACACTCACAGGCACACCTCTGATTGATCTCGAATCGCTCTGATACCACATAGTCTCAGAGGAAAGCAGTCCATTATCTCAGCTCTGATACTATGGCAGATTTATCCGAACAAGGGTAAATCCGAGAACGAGCCGTGGGAAAGTCCCCATCGACCTTCAAAGCAGCATTTAACGCCTTTTGAGATAGGTGAGAACTTTTCTTCTTTATTCATGAAAAATAATCCTGCCTAGAAAAGGTTTCTCTGTTGTCAATCTCACTGGATCTCAGTTCGACATAAGATTATTAAAGATTGGAATCGTCGGGAACGGAACTCTTCCATCTCTGTTCTGGTGATTCGTGGTTTTATTCGAGAAGAATTCCCTGATAGATGAGCACATGATGTACATCACTGAGGTAGAAGAAGACCACCACTGGGTCATGCATTTGGCTGGCGCTCTGAACGATGCAAGAAAAAAAGGCATAAATAGAAGTCGATTCCACTTTTTTGTCCTGCTGAAAAAGCTTAGTAAACCGGTCTTCTGAATTCCC